ATAATTCCCACAAAACGCAATTCTTTGCTCACATCTTCTCTACAGACACAACCCCTCTACCTTTAAGCTAGTCCAGTGCTGTTTGATCAATGCATGGAGCCAGTGTACCACTCACCATAAAGATGTTTACCTTGTCCATATTTCAAGAGTAACTTCATGGAAAACATGCCAAGCAGCTGAAAACACTCCATGTCACTGAAAAAAAACATGCAAATGTATGCTAGTCTTTTTTTGCCACTTCTGATGTGAGGGATTATTACAAATCCAAAAGTACTATGATTACATTAAAAAAAAAATCAAGAAAATAATCAACAAAAAAAATTTCTTCAAAACAGCTGTTAACATTGTCGTATTTTTTATTTTTAAATGAAAAAAACAAAAGCATAATTCTGTCTCCCCACATTCAATTTTAAAATTGTAAAGTTCCTCAAAAGATGGATAGAAGGATGTTTGTACTTAATACTATGCTTTGCAACAAACACGCACACATACATTTAGGTATGTATATATAAACTAGTGTTATCAAAAGTGGTAATGGATGTATATTTTAGAATTCCTTGTTTTAGGTTTCCTTGGAAGGAGGAAAATGGGATTTGCTGATTAATAAAAAAAATAACTGAAGAAAAAGTGTACATTACCTCTGGGAATTCCTAGTGGTGGTATTTCATCCTTTTTGTCTTTTAATAAAAAGACAAATGTTTCTAGCTGAGCTGACCTGACTGGCCAGTGGAGATTAACAACTCATTTTTTATGAGATCAACAAAAGAAGTTTGCAAAGACTATGCAATTTCTTTGGAGGGTAATTCTCCCATTCTGTGATAAAACCTACAAATAGTTTATGGGAAAGGAAACAAGAGCATTCCTTGTGAAATAGTATTTCTCTGATGTGACATACTGAACGCAAAATGTTTAAAATCTCAGAACCACACAATACTAGAGATGCACAAAAAAATTTAATAGCCCCGTAAAGAAACTGCCCTTTACAACATGCAAAGTTCAATTATCTAGTCTCTAATTTGTATAAGCAGTCTGAATGCTTAAAATTGTTGGGGTGGGAAGGGAAGTTGGTGGGGTTTTTAAGTTTCCAAAATAATTCTGAGGTTGAGGGACATTTCTGACCCATCTCAATTTTTCTTCTGCAGTGCTTTCTTTTCAGTTTATTCAAGTCTAAGTTAATGGAAACAGTGAGATTATTGTACTACACATGCTGTTACTAAAGGGATGCAAAGGTTTCAGAAGAAACGGGTTAATGGACCCATTATGAGAGCACATCTTTTTCAGTTCAGTAAACAATCACTTGACTTGGCATAAAATGAATCATCAGTACAATAGTTTTCAGTTAAAATAATTTTAAAAAGTAAAAGGTAGCTTCTTCTGGATTCTTATTAATTCTAGTCCACAATACTAAGTGTTACGGTGGCCACAAAAGTGCACAATTGTATTATATGCATTGATAAAAATGAGGTGAAGGATTTGTTTTCAATACAGATAGCTGAAGCTGTGACTGTCTTTTTACCGAGATATGAATTAGCAATTGTATTGGGTCTGGCTGAGATGGAGTTAATTCTCCCCATAGCAGCCCTCATAGTGCTGTGCTCTGTATTGGTAGCTAGAAAGGTGTTGGTAACACACCAGTGTTTTGGCTACTGCTGAGCAGTGCTCGCACAGCATCAAGGCTGTCTCTCCAACATTTTTGCCCCCCTCAATGGCAGGCTGGGGCTGGGCAAGATCTTGGGAGGGAACATAGCCAGGAGAGCTGACCCAAACTGACCAAAGGGATATTCCACACCATATGACGCCAGCTCAGCTATAAAAGCCAAGCAAAGGGAGAAGGAAGAGGAGGTATTCATTATTTACATTTGCCTTCCGGAGCAACCACTATGAGTACCGAAGCCACGCTTCCCGGGAAGCAGCCAGACACTGCCTGCTGATGGGAAGGAGAGAATAAAATCTTTGCTTTTCCTTTGCCTTTGCCCACAACCTTTGCTTTTGCTTTATTAAACTGTCCTTATCTCGACCCATGAGCCTTTTGTTGTATTTTCTCTCCCCTGTCCAGTTGAGGAGGGGAGTGATACAGCAGCTTTGGTGGGCACCTGGCATCCAGCCAGGGTCAACCCACCACAGCAATCCAGTTTTCTTAACTATGGATTTAGTAGATGATCTTACATCTAGAATATAACCCAATCACGTTTTCATATGCCATTTAGAGTGAACGGTTTAACTATTGTCTTCTCTCTTTGCATAGAAGACACCACCAGAATGGACAGAGAATGCAGAAGTTTCTCTCTCCCATCTCAGTCAGAAAAAATGTTTTCCTGTCCAGTATCCACCTGCACTCTAGTCCATATATTCTAGCGATAATCTGTTATGAAAACCTGCTGTGATTACTACATGACTGATTCTAGTGTTTGAATCAGAGTACAGCCTTTGTCACAATAAAAATCTTGTCATATAAACTACCATAATACTAAAAATTTAACTTAAGAAATCAAATGACTGCTCAAGTAATTCTGTTTATTTACTCTTACCTTCAACAAATTACTGCTTTATTTGGAAAAAAATACTACTCTAGTATTCCTCTATACCACTGTCCATGAATTTTATTCCTGTCCCCAATGCTGTCAAGCCAAGAGAGCCCACCGACACAAACAGCTGTCTACTGAATATTACTACACGTCTTATGGCTCAAGAAGCCACAACCTCTAGAGACTACAATATTCTTGGTAATATCAGTACTATTGAAAAAAAAAAGGATGATTCTATAGCAAGTAAAATAGCACCAATATTTCTATGTGGAATCACTTGGAATTGCTCATGTACTTCAGCAAGTTTTCACTGGTGACAGCCTGTATCCTGGTTCTGAAGAACCCTCATCCATAACACACTTTTGCAGGCTATATCTACCTTATTAGCAGAAGGTTAGGCTGTAACACATTCAAAGACATTTAGCACAACTGTTAACCACTATCCTCAGCACCACTCAGAACCTACATGTAAGAAAAATACCTTAGTTTTCTTTTTATATATGATACACAAGACAACCTTGAGCCCATGTTCCCTTTACATGGCACTGCACAAACTCAGCAAAACTGAATTCCCAATCACATGACATTCCAATTTCACTTTTGCACTGACACGATTACCCAAGAAAGCAGAATATTGAATGAAGGTCCTATCCTTTTCTCCCCCAAATACCTCGTGTTTTTACATTAGTTATAAAGCAAGCCTTGTTCATTTGCAAAAATGATATGATGTTGGGGATTACTGCGAAGCCAGTGATTTAAATCAACATAGATAATACAAAACTGAGCAGGTAAGATGTGAAACCAATTTTTTAAACAGACTATAAAGGAATGTTTTGTATAAAGTCCTTGAAAACAAGAAGGAAAAGGACTATTATTATCAAATTCTAACTTCACCTTAAAACTGAAAAATAAGAAACCTGGAGCTTGCTAACATGAGAGGCCTTCTGCAAAGAAAGTTTTGTACCTAGCCTAGTAGTGGCTGACTATTTTAAGAAAAGAACAAAAAAAGTAAAACTTTCTTTCAATTCTGGCTATTCTGCGAATGGAATAACCAGGTAATGCACAGAACCATCCTCCACATGTCCTAAACAAAGAAGTGTGTTCCCAATTCTCACAATTTTATGAGAATCTCTTACCTAAAACTCCAGTAAGTTGGTAACAGAAACTTCCATCAGTATCTCTCAATTCAGAATTAGCATATTTCTAGACCTCAAGCTGAGAAAACTCAGTACAAAGACTCAAAAGACTACTCGGAACTTGTTTCTAAAACTGTTACAGTAAGAAAGAACAAGTCTGGTTTTGAAAGTTACACTCCTTATTCCCAATAAGTAGCTCTTGATTGCCAACAAATTCAATATAATCTCATTCTCTACTGAAGCCCAACCCCAGAACTAATTTATGTACTATTCCGATTCTAAAATGTCAAACGAGAATTCCAGTAAGCCCTTGCTGAACCAGGTATCAAATAATTATCCCAACCCCAACATGCCACAGTAATTCAGAGACACAGCATGGGAAACAGTTATTTGAGATATTTGAATATGAAAGTATTCAAACATATTTCATGTGCGTGTGGGGGAAAACTGCAGTGGAATAGATGTTTCAAGTGTTTCATTAAAATAAAGTTTAATTTCTTTTGAAATACATAAGTGAGCTGATTGTTTTCATTATATAATTTCCTTTCTTCCAAGAGATAAATAATGAAATTTGTAGTGAAATAAATCAATGCAGAGTGATGCTGATTACTGAACTTTACAAAAACTTTATCAATCCTCACACATTCACTAGACATCAAAACCAAAATAAACCAGATGATGTGACAGACTGGAAAGTTAAATAAGCCACAGACACATATTACCCTCACTTAGCAAATGGCAGTTATTTTTAAAAGTTTAAAATGGAGTGGATTTCTTGCCATGAAATTATTCTAGGATAACAGCTTCAACAAATAAGAACTTGCAATTGGTTAGATGTGTCCTGAAATGTGTCTATATCCTGTAGCAAAAGCGTGTAAGTTAGCGAAAGCAGTGAACACTTTACCCTAAGGTCAAAGAACTAACATCTCTTTAGCTCAGGACATCTTTTTGATGAATGTGAAACAGCTGGAATAAATATATCAAGGGTAACAATTGTGCTCCCATGGTAGATCCAGCTGCTGCAGAAATAAGCCCGGGGGAGAAAGCCGAATAGTAAAATACACAACAATAAAAAAAACCCTCCTACACCATACAATACCACTGTTTCTATGTAAGTCCTTTTAAAATACAGGACACTTTGCAATTGCTGGTTGAAAATTAATGTAGAGATTCATTTGTTAAAAACAAAACCTGTTTATAAAGTTTTTAAAAAAAAATCAAGGAATTTTGTTTTATTTAACAGCAATATTTTTATCTTTAGTGATATTTTTCCAGACTTGAGGAACATTTGTACCTGCTAGCAAGAAAGTTACTCTAAAAATAAACAGACTCATAATAATCCTGTTAATACTTTATTAGTGTAATTTTTTAGCTTTCTATTGGACAGAACATAAATGCAAACTCCAAAAAAAAATTCAGAGTCCTCTGCCATTCAGTAGAAGTGACCATGGCAGCCTGTTTCATGTTCTTTGTTACAGAAACGAGAAGAGAGGGAAGGGAGGGGAAAAAGCATCAATAGAACAATTAGGCACACAGCTGACACTTACTGTACAATGATATGCACAAGTAATTTATAACAGCTATATTCATGAGATGTGCTCTTCAGATTTTTCCCTTGTAATATATGAGCTTTGCTCAGATGAACAAGGATCATTGAGAACAAGGGAATTAACAAAGTAGTAACAAATAAGACTTTTAAAACAAGTCCTTAAATAAACTAACGCAACAACAGAATGCAAAATTGTTCAGCTGAGAAGACATTTTTAACCCAGACTTCAAAACATTAAAAATTCATTTATTTTACAGTTATTCAAATACACATGCATTAAATGAAAATATTGCACAAAATTAAAATTTAGATTGTGGAATTCATATATTTTTATTTTGGTACACATTCCGGTAGCACTTAAAATTTACTGTTTAGTTCTAGCAAACACCAGCAGCACAAGCTTGAGGATGAACCAAATGAAAAATTCAATTGCTCATTTTCTCTTAAAAATAATTAAGGCTAAAACAAGTGCATTTGTTGACAATGGCACAATTTTCAGCGGCCAGTCACAGCACCCAAAGGCCAGAAGATACACCCAGACACTTAAGTGCTGTATATTAACATTCAGTTTTGGAGACTTTCTAGGATAACAAGCTGCATGGGTTGACAGGGCAGGAAAACCATTTCAATAAAGATACATACAAACTCTTTTTAACAAAAAATATTCATTTCTGATGATTCGTGCCAGCCACCAGGCACCACTGAATTAGGAAGCCACATTCTGTAATTAAATACAGAAGACAAAACTTCAATACATATATACATATGCACACATGTATAAATGTGTGTATAGGTATATATATGCAATAAATTCATTAAGTAAAATTACTAATAAACATGGCGTATTGTGTTCAGTTCACATTCCTAGATATATTATTTTATTTTTGTACAGAAATGTACCAGATAATTAAAAAGAAAAATCCCAAATTTGCACATGACCCCTATTCTCTTGAAATTTTTCATGGTACCTACAGATAGATAAAAGGTTCCACAGATCTGACAAAACAGTTTTTTGAAGTTCCCACTTTCATAGTGCATAACAAATTCAGTGATTTAAAAGACATAAATTAGATTTGGTAGAATCAATGATATATTCACTATATCGCCAAGAACAATGCTGAACTATCTTTCATCAATCAGATGTCAGGTATGCTTAAGCACCCTAACGTCAGAGGAAGATACAGGCATGTAAACAATAGGAGCTGGCTATGTTGATTACTCCACGCATTAACTCAATAATTTTGTTAAATTCAACAGCACTTAATCATCACACTTCTAAAGAACCTGCAGAGAGGAAGGGGGAAGGGTTCTTACATATTTACCAACTTGTCTTCCTACGGATTACAAAAGAAAGGGATTTCATTTACAGTATTTAGTTCTGCAATAAAGAAAAAAAAACAAAAACAAGTGCACTTGAGCCCATGCATACTGTATGAGAATGTTAACAGTACAATATGATCATCGTTAAGTAGTATGATAAAAGGCTACACTGCATTAATAGAGTCCATGAGAAAAAATGATCTATATAGAGGCTTCAGTCAATTTAACTAGGTCCTTCGAGAGCCTTCTATCTTTTCTTAGAACATGTTCAGAAAATGTCTATGCTCCTCCCTCACACAAAAGGATCATTTGTTCCCATTAAGACACCAATTACTATAAGGATCCTTGATCAATAGCTGTATCTCACCCTGTGTTTAGCATTCAGAAAAAAACCCTGACTGTATAGGATTACCTTCTATTTACCCAGATAGTGGTGCTCAAACAGTTGGGGACTATGAAAAAGAAAACACAAACTGAGATATGCTGTGGCCAAACAGGATTATTCAGTTGTTACTTTAGTTGGACAGAAATTCTTCAATGAAACCAAACAGATGGATGTGGGGCCTTGATGTCAAATTTTTATTAAAATTTTACACTATGCAAAAAATAAAAAAATTATTTAAAAAAATATTGTAGTTTTATCTCCTTTTTATTTTCATATATACACTGAGATGCGTTCAGGAATTTCCAAGTGTTTGCATATGACTAATGAAACCCTTTACCTGTGAGGAACCAAGTAATTCTAATATTTTTCCATACGAGGCTTACACACTAAAAGGTAAGGAATCTTTCAATGAAGTAGGACATAGTCTTTTACACACACAAAAGATTTCAAATTTTAGTCAGGAGTTGTGTGTAAACTGTGTCCTAGTGCAATTTCCTCATCTTCTAACATGATGTCTATCCTCTTTGAAACATGTACCCCCTTCCTTCTACAACTATCAACTTGATGTATGTTCAAATACTCCAATTGAACATAAATATGATGCCCCTTCTCCACTGAAGTTACATGCAAAATGTATGCCAGGTGCTGTAAGAGCAGAATATGGCCCTTAAAGCTACAGAATTATCAGAATAAAGGGTTTATTTCTACTGCACCTCTGCCTTTACTAAAACCCCCATTAGATCTAACATTAGTTTGTTTTTCAAAACATGAAAGATGAAGTAAATGTGGCATGAAAGCCACATTACCTCAACTTTTCTTTAATAAATGTACTTTTATGATGGGGCTGTAACTACTTCTCCCCTCTCCTATGTACCTGCCATTCCAGAGACTGCTTTTCCTGTTAGCTCAGCCTTTACAGGAATGTTAAAAGAGCCTTACAGAGCCTCAACAGTCGTAACATTGAACAATTCCACCTGATTCTCACACATTGCACTATCTCCCAGTGCCAGAACATCCTTTTCTTCCATTGTATCACCACAGTTGTGCTTTACTTGAACAGTCTGGCACTTTTCATTGCTGGCAAAACATCGACTCAGGAACAGAAGGAATCAGCATTCTTATATATTGGGCTAGTATTCTTCTCAATGTTGCATGAAGACGCACCAAATCATTTAAGACACACAAACCCTTCTGGTAGTGGTTGAATTACAAGTGAAGATGAGAAGAGTCACAGGTCTTACAGATGCATTAATAATCTAATATGTGACACTAGAAGACTGGTGCAGAAATAACAGCATGTGAGTTTGAAGCCCCAGAGAATCTGCCCAAGTAATTAGTCCTGGACAAACATACACCAGCTTAGTAGGTTTGAAGTGTCACCTTTTCTGCAAGGAAGGCGCTTGAGTAGAATGTAGTCTCTGCTTATACCTCTGCATCTGCTTTGACCGTGAATGCAGTTTGTTGAAGAGCTCATGGAACTTATTTTGTGGAAATAAGGTTTCTAGGAATCTCTCCAGAAACACGTACACCATTCTCTTATTCAGTTGAGTGTGCTGGAACATTTCAAATACCCGAAGAATGCCTTTCCGTGTTGTCTCAGCGCCTATGATGTGCTTCAGTTCATCTACAAAAATGGAAGTTACACAGAAGTTTAAGTTAAATTCTGCTTCTGTGTTAACAACAAACGTAAACTAAGTATTAAGTCTTTCAAATTACATACCTTGGAATTGGAAGTAACAGTGCCTCTATTATACATAACTAAACTAAAAGTTCTTTTACAGCAGAAAGGATTTCTGAAAATTACTTCACTTTTACACTATATGGAACTATGTGGAACTATGTTATTTTACATGAAATCACGCTGTATTGGAATATAGGCATTTCATGCACTAAACTTAAATCCTCTAGTGAAGCTAAATACTGGGTTGGTTCCAAGAGAATTACAGTTGCAAAGTCACAGTACATGTGAAAGTGTTCAGTGCTTTATTAATTAAAAACTTTTTTTATTTAAATACAATATGTCAACATTTCTTTTTAACATTTCAACAATCAACAAGAATATTGACATTAATTCCAGGAACAATATAAGGTAAGAATTATTAGCCTTCAATCCCAGACTCACTTACCTGGCATTACCTCCAGTAATTTGGTCTTCCCTGCCACTCTTGTTCTCATTCTAATAGCTTTGTCCCTCCGCGGAACAGTCTCTGCTAAAATGCCATTGGGCCAAAAAGCATCTCTGTAACAAAAGCAAATCTGTCAAAATACATTAAAATTTTATCAAGTGAAACACTCTTTTTAATCTCTCAAAGCTATCTCATAAAATAAATACAAGAAAGTAATTTGCACACAACCTAACACACACTTCAAATATTAGAAAAGGGAAAAGGCGAAAAAGAAATCAAAAGCAAGAAGTACAATACATTCAATCTATTAGTAGCTACCATACACTTTTTTAGTACAAGAATCAGAAGAAAGAGAATTTTAAGAAAATACTACACATCCAAAACACTCAAATACCATATAGTTGTTACATAAAATATACCTAAGATTTGCTTTTATCAATCAGTCTCTATTGCCACTGAGAGACTCTAGGCTTAGGTCTATTAATTGCTTCATTAGATCTCTGACAGTAGTTAACCTATCAACAAGCTAAAGCCAAGATGAAGTAGTTTCAGTGTAGTATAAAGCCCAATGCAAAAGACATGCCTGTCTAAAAAGGTATTTTGCCTCAGTGAATGACATTCTTTTTCTGAGTAGGAAGCGCACATTCTTACTCAGTTTTATTAAAGAATAACAGAGTATCTGTAAAGTACGACCCCTTAGCTAATACATTATCCTACTTTATCTCTTTCACCCCTTCCAACAACAACAACAAAAAAAAGGCATGGGGGGTGGCCTTCACTCAACAGCATTGCAGAAGCCATTAAGACTTTTAGGAAATGGAATGACAGAGCTTTTGATACTTTCAAACTCAGACTTCAGTTCTATCTGCCCACATGTGAAACCTATTAGCTTAGAGCTAGGGGTTTTTTTTAGTAATAATTGTTTGCCTTTTAAGCCAAGGCATGCACATGCTTTCATCAAGGTAAACAAGACACTTCATCCAGTCATATGATGAAATTCCTAAGTATACCCATACTCTAGTTCTTCTAGACTGACTAACAAAGAACTTTTTAAGAAAGAGAAGAAAACTCAAAATATTCTTCTTCATGTGACAATTACTTTCTCTCACTTAACACACATAAACAGCAGTGTATGCTCCAACTGCAATTCTGTACAGCAGTAATAATTTCCTCACATAAAAAGAACAGGAAGGATACACAGACATTAGACATCAATTGGCGAGTACTTCATATTTTACATCTGTGATAAAAGACATACCTGAAGCGTTTTACCGCATCTGCTACTTGCTCAGGAGATGTCATCCAATCAACATGATCAACTATTTTTCTAAAAAAAAAAAAAAAAAAATCAAAGCAACAAGTCTCTCTCATTCAATTTTTAAAACAGAGAACAAATAAGTACATCATTTTAAAGAGCAATCTATGGCCAACAAAGTATAATTTCAGCTTTCTGCAACTCCATAAGTAGGTTCTATAAAACTGCACACTAAGAAGGCAAACACTGATTCTCAAGATAAAAACCTAAGTTCACTGATCACTCCTAAAGCTAAAGCCTTTTTCTTTCTGAGTAAATGTACGATGACTAAGGAGGTTGGAAAACTGATGTTGCATCTCCCATCAGCATTAGATAAATATTCAGCTTGTAGAGTGCTCCTCTTCATGGAGCACTCTTCAAGTTCTGCTTCTGCACGCAAAGAACCTACTTAAAAATCTCAATTACTGTACTTATGTATGCAGTTACTTCATAATCTTTAACAGGAGATACAGACTGATCATAAACTTTGACCTTCATTCAATAACACATACACACAGCTCAATATCCAAATCTTGTACGTTTACAGAAATAAGCATCTGTGTATCACCATAATCCCAGGATTATTTCCCTAAACATAACTTGAATGTAGTTTTCTAAAAAAAAGGAAAACACAGTTTTGTTGCAGAATGCCATTAAACCCCAAGAATCTGCTAGGACGAGGTATGACTGCTGCACCAGAGGAAGCTGTGAGTATCCAAATGCAGAAGCAAAATAGTTCTGCACATATCTCTGCAATAAGAAAGCAGCAGCCTGTGCCCAAAGTCAGCTAGTTATACTACAATCTGAAAACAGCAAAAAGTATTCAGAGTTGTTCAACAGGGCAGCATGTTTTTGGAAGCAAAGGTATCAAGATAATTGTCACCTGGCCATTAGGAATTTGAAAAACAGTGCTATTATTATTACATGGCTGCACCACTGCTGGTACCACAAGAACTGTTTATATGTTTAACAGTGATGATCAAAACATCAAAAATATACTTGTGAAGGGTAAAAAGTAATGATACAGTGAGGAATGTCCTGAAAAAGTAATAGGAAACTACTTCTCACCTACCAGAAATTAAGTTTTTGATTCATGGCACTAATCCAACATGACAATTTAGTGCCAATCCCGTTTCTAGAAACATTTTTGTTCTATATTTTTATTTACATTTCAGAAACAAATTATTAGAAGGGTAAGCCTGGAAACAGTAGATTTCTAAGCTGAGGACAAGAAACATTACTTATTTAGCACTATTTGCTTTGCATTTGCATGAAAAAGTGTATATGTGAATTATGGAGAACATGGTGGGGGCAGAACAGACTCCATAACAGTCCTTTCCCTCCCCTCCCCGCCCTCCATCTTTTAAAGTGTCACAGCAAAAACTTAATATAGCCACTCAGTACAGTTCACATAATTTGATAGTGCCAGTGTATCATTTGTGTCATCAAAGAGATGTAAACCAAAATAGTGCAGAAAGTAATAAATAGTATTAACAACAAAAGGTATAGTATAAAACACAGGGCACAAAGCATAGACACCATCAGTATTAAGTTACATTCACAGAAACGTGAACACTCGTTGATATGTGAAAGCTCTTTTGGAAGTTCTCTGGCATATAAGTGTTACTGGAATTTGTCTTTCAGCAATGTTTTGTGTTTATCTCCATTTTACACCACATTTGTACTTGGGTTTATTGATCCTCTTGAAAGGGGGAATGCATGCAGATGTAAACCACAATAATTTAGTAATACCAAAAAGGATTTGTAGACACAGTCTATATAGTCTCACTCACACGATCGCTCTATATAAGAAAAGCAGTACCTGTTAATTGTGTCACCATATGTTGCTCTAATAAGTTGCTGAAGCAGATTTTTTATATTTCTTCTTAACCACTGATTTCGTTCCTTTAAATCAAAGACTTCATCCATAAGGAGGAGCATTACTCTCAGTGGAATATTGTCATCCACCTGATCAAGTGAGTAAAAGTATAATCAGTGAACTTTTAGGTCAGTTCAAGAAAGCTGCAGTTTTAGTAGCTACTTCACAGGTCAAATGCTTCAGTATAATCAGAACAATGACAGAAACACTTTGCTCTGTATTTTATAGCAATATGAAATCTTCCCTAAATCATCTATAACATCAGTAATAGCAAAGAAAGATTGAAAATTAAAGATAAACCAGGCTTAAATCCATTTAATTTTTAAAATAAGTAAAAAAGAAACAGTTATTTCACCAAAGTTGAACAAAGTTAATACAAGTAAACATGTCCTAAAGAGAGAGCTTGTCCCTGACCTCTTCCTTTGGTAGCTGTGCTTCAAACATGAAAACTCTGGAAGGAGCTTTTCTTTGGCATCTTTTTCTTACGGATGCACCCCGCCAAATCCAGAACCTTCCAAGAACAATGAAACTTCACTGCAGTGATCTGCCTTTTATTTAGATACTGTTCTAACCTGCACGGCTATTAAGTGCTTTTATGCTTGTAGATTAAGAAAAGCATCATCATTTTATTATTTAATAGAAGGTGTTACACAGATTGGCTTACGACAAACTTTTATGGAAATCCTAAAGCAGAGGATTCAGCAACTATGTAAAAGTTTTTAAAGATGGATGGCGTATACTTGCAGTAACTGTCAACATTTTCTCAAATATTAAAATTTAAGGGAGAGTTTACTAAGTTCTGTAGTATGAAAGTATTCAATTTTCATCTTAGTTGTTACTAATATTTCTTTTACAGAAACAACAGCAGCTTCTCATGGCCTGCTTATATGCTAAAATACAACCCTACGTACTGTTAAGCTATTGCATAAAAAAATAGCATTTGGAGTTACAGTTGTATTGCACAAGAGACCACAAATATTTATCTCAAATAAAACAAATTAACTTGATTTTGATTGATTCATTATTTGAACTTTATATTTATTATTAAAACTTTTTAGAATAGCAAGCTAAAATTAAAATCTTACTATATGCTCAGCAAAATTTATTTAAAGACTGGATGCATTTTCTCTGTGCTTTCTTTTTTATTAGGGTTTTTACATTCTAAGCATAACATTCAGAATTTTGTTTTGTATTTGAAATCTGATACAGCTCTACCTGGAAGAATAGTAGTTTACACTATACTGTTAATGCTACGCTGGAAGAAGTAGCAAGATCTCACAGCTATGTGGACTCTTTTTGGGGGACTACACAAGTACATCTTTATATACAAGTGGATTCATAATCCAGCTGGAGATTCTATAGATCCATGCCTCACTTTTACAGTACTGTTTCTCCACATCAAATTCCATTCAAACTGCCATATTTTTTGTCTGATTGAGTGACTGTAAGTTGTGAACAATGCACCTGAAAAGAGCAGTTGAGAATTGAAAGGTTTTAAAAATATTTGAAATCTGCCTTTCAGGAGCACTTGGTATGTTAACCTAAAAGCTATCAAGAATTGTAGCTTCTATTCTTTTTACAGAAGATCAATGAAATATTTGCAGAGAAGCTGCTCATATACTTGAAAGATATTTTGTTTTGCCTGTGCAAAACAGAAGCCTCAGGAGTATCAAAAATATAGATTTGTAATTCCAAATTTATGGATACAGTCTGATATAATGAAAAATAATGGGGAAAAAGAAAACCCAGAAGAACTCAAGGCTATGTTATTTGAGCAAAAATACATGTACCAAGCCATCATAGCAGTTACACAGAGGACGACAAACTGGAATGCTTTGATGTGACCAAAAAACCCAAAATGTGAAGGGCAGAACAGGTGCAGATTTATGACCATAGCAAATTGCATATAATCACTGGTAATCTTACGGTCTTTCTGTCTTACTTAGAGATAAAAGTTTTTCTTCCAATTGTTTTCACATATATGATCAATGTTTCAAACAAAATAGCAAAATACCATAGCTTATGATAACATCAAGAGCTTAAACTTCACTTTCGAGTTTCTAATATTACTACTTTATACATTTTAGGTATCCACATACTAAAAGTTTATTATTAGGAAAATGTTCTGAAGTTTTTTTCCATAAAAACATAGCAAACACTACTTCTGATCCATTAAACAAATGCCTCCTAAAAGGTCACATCAGAAATCAGAATCCGTAAAATGCTAACAGAAATGATGCTAACAGTCTGGTACCTTACTGTCTTTGAATAGATGGAAATTGGAGGGAGGTCGGGGAAAACAAACAACCCCAAACCCCCACCCACAAAACACAGACGCAGCAGTATGTACACAGTAAGTTACTCCACTGTTGTGCTAACCATTTTTGTACTAACAAAAATGTTAATTTTGGAAGGAAGCATATAAGTTTCTTTTTTAAAATTAAAGAACTGTTTGTAAGTGCCTGGTATAATATCAGAAAACAATAAATACATAGTTTAAAATAAGTAACTCATTAATTTGGTTTTAGAGGAGTAAACTTTGAAAGGACAAAAGTCAGACTCACATTGTCATCAATTGGTGCTGCAACACGGCAATGGTCAGGATCTGAATAGGTTTTCTGGATCAAAGGAGGCACCTACAACGAAAAAAGGTAATGTTTATGAAGTAAAAAATACTTTAGAATACCAGTAAGTCAGATCAATTTTCATAATCAATTTGGTTATGAAAATGAAAACCAAACATTTGGTCAAAAGTCAGTTGCATGCTACTGCAGATAAATACACAGTAGTCCTTTCATCTTCCAACAAGTCAAGCCTGTAGGTATTCTCCTATAGCTATCAAAGTTATCAACACCTTTAAGACAATCCACATGTATTTTCTCAAATGACTAATATTTCAACTGAAAAACACCTAGAAATTCATAGGGGACTGATATTTCTTCTGGTATTTCCTCTTGATCTTAAGTCCTGCCTAGTCATGGACTTCCCAGTGAATGTAACTGCAGATACATTGTTAGTCACACACCAGGGAAGTTACCAGCAATGAGAAAGTCCAGAGCCAAACATTTTATCTTACAAGTAATGAAAAAAACCAACCAAACAAAAAACCCACCCCACACCACAGATTTATTATTCCCTTTCATGGTTTAAGGGTTAACTCATCTTGGTTGCTGTTCTACATCTGCCACATAAAACTGTTCTGGTAACACAAAATGGAACAATGCCTGATCACAGACCTTACAGCTACACACAGAAAAAGGAGGGCAAGGGAAAAGAAGTTAAGATGGACATGTTAGGAAGATTACTACTTTCATAGGACCTCTAGATAGCATGTCACAGCTACCATTGCCCACCTCTAAGGTATCACATTTTAGGAATAAAGAGATGAGAAAAGATGGCAGGAAAGACAGAAAGAAAATTTAATTAAAAACAGAATTCAGCAAGGAATAAGCAGAAAAGAAGCTATCTCCTTATTCTAAGTTTCAGAATGTATGGGGTTTTTTTTCCTAATGAAAGCAGCAGGTGCAGCAATCTAGCTTTATAAGAATGGGTGGTAAAAAAAAATAAAATCAGTGACTCTCATTCTTCTCATGTGGCTGCACTGAATTAAGTGAAGAAGGATCACTCTAACAGTCTGTAGATGCCATCTTAAAATTTGTTACTTAATAGCAAAGAGAACTCCATGTTTGTAGTATAATGGCTGCTGAACCTTATTAAAGGGGTATAGGTATAAACAGATTGCTTTCCTGTCCAATGACTTGACCCTTCATTATAGAATACAACATAAGTTTAAGTGAGTCGATAGCTAATCTCCTATGAATTCACTAATATGTATTATCTACCAAATATTTTCTTACCTTGAAAAATGATTGCTTTATGTCTTGTCCCAATCTCTCTGACATTTTACCCATGTTGTCTGACATTTTAGTCATTCCCTCTGCCAGGCTGTCAGGGAGAGACTTGACTGCATTTGATACATTTCTCATAGAGTTACGCAGTGGGTTTACAAATGTGTCCATCTGAAGGGGAAGATGTTTAACCAGAATTGTATAATCTATGAGGACACCAGTATATTAATACACTATGAGAAGTATCACACTGTTCCAGAGAACAATAATATAAAGAACAACTCAAACTGCTTAACTTCATTACCAAATGCAGAATAAAGTTTTAGCTTCATTTTCATTTATATTTCTTGTTCCTTACAGCCCTACTGTAACTATTTACATCTTTCAACAGATCTTTTTCCTGAGTCATTTCCATTTACCATCCCTCAGCTTTTCTTAGCTTGAATTTATTTTCCTTTTCTTCTCCATTCAATGCCATTTCTCCCTTCCAAGCTTCCTAATTCCAGATGTTTCACTTCTGCTTTCAACTCTTTATCTTTGAAACATGCCTCTTAAACAGCACTGGAGTAATATGCTTTAATATCGTGGCAAGTATAATTAAAACCAAAAAGTAGTTCCGTAGAAACTGATACAATTTTTCTTTCAGTATATACTTTAAATTCAGTCCAAACAGAGGCACAAGTACTAATATGATGCCCTTAAAAAGTTAAGTTTATGAAGAACCTCATAAGCTAGAAATCAAATCTTGGTCATTACATAAACCTTGATAAATATTTAACTGTTTCACTGTTAAATATTTAAGGAATATAGGCAGAACAACAACTTGAAGTGACAATACAGTTGCAGATGCTTTTTATATCAAAATCACTAAAAGTTTAGAAATAGCTGTATTTGCAAAGCAGATGCCCATACAGACTGGTCAACTGAACAAAGAATCACTTGTCTGAAGAGAGTTCTGGTGGTTTAAAAAAAAAAAAAAAAAAAAGGATGCATAGCTCAGAGCTCCAAATTTCACCAATGACTCTGAATGGTTACAACGGCTAAATACATAACAGCTGCTTCTGAAGGGAAATGCATTTCATTTTTTGGGCTGAAGAGTGGAGAGCATGGTAACAGCAGCAAATACAGAGTAAAGAACTGAAAAAAGAAATTAGAAGGAATGAAACTACAAAAAAAAATCACAGACATCTCACAAAGTAACTTGTAAAGTGAACACACTTTCAAAGTAGTCTTGGTGCAATACACTGTGTCCTATCTGAAAATTTTATTTCCTTGTCATACAAATAAATTTACCTGTTATAAAAACTGTAAATTTTTGGTTCCGTATGTCCTCAGATACTTCGCCACTCACAAACTATTAAAGCAACTCACTTGCAAGTTGTTTTGAAAGTGCTATATAGCTGTTTAATACCAGTTCAACATCTCTGTTTAATGCAATCACTGCACTAACGAATGCTCTGAAGTTCCCTTGACAGTGCAAAACATTCTTACCTTCCGTGCAAAATCTCCCTTCCCTTTGCTGTACGCTTTATTCTCCAGGAAGTCATACACATAGTGGGCTAAAGCTGGAGAAGCCTTCATCATTTCAGGATTTAATAAGAGCTGAGTAAAATAATTTTTAAAAGGTGCTTTTTAATAAATAATGAAAAAGGCCATATCATTCAGTTTAGTGAAAGTTTACCATGCACAAAGACACTACATCTTGCAATGTATTTTCTCATTCATTCTCTAAATTTTATTCCAACATTACGCTACTCTCAAGATGGAAACAACATGCTTCCTGGTAATTCCCATAATATTAACTAGTATGTTAATTATAGCATCTCACAGAAAAATATACACCTTTATGACCACTCAAACTGCTTCTAAAACTCCAAAGGAAAAAAAAAAAAGCTGTGACTGAAAGAAATATTGCTATTAAAAATGGGGCACATATCTCACAAAAGAAAAAATATTAGCACTCTAAACAGAACAATCAAATTTCACGTTTTATTAATCTTCATTATTTGTTGTTAACATGTTCATTGAGTTGGTCAACATATTTTAGTGCTAAATGACCAGAAAGTCCCTATGAAGTAGGACAACTGAATTCCTTTAGTTGGGCTGATACAGGCCTTATCTGAATGGAGAAGCTGTGTGGTTGTGCTACACTGCCGGAGCAGGTGCCATGCCAATCCTTATGCAACAGCACAAGAGAAAGTAACCACAAACATGAATGCAATGGGAAAAAGTTAAGTGGCATAGAGCTCAAAACCAACACAGCTGGAACCTCACCAGCTCAGAGCAGTTGGGACAGAACCGGCTGAGAATAAACTGAAACAGCAAAGAAAAGGCAAACTTATTAGATAATATGAAGTTCTTATGGTATACTATTTAGGATTATATACCACTTACAACACAGCAAATTTTCTACCTCAGAAAAAAGAATTCCTACCTAGAACACAACCAAAAAACCCATAACAGCTTACCTGCAAATATGCATTTAAATCTTTTTTCCTCTTTTCCAAAAATTCTCTGTCCATATTGTTAAATGTCTTTTTGCCAGGAAGTTTCAGTATATTTGCAAGGTTTTCAAACTAGAAAAAAGAGAAGATTTGGGGGGGGGAGTCTGTTTTCAAAAGACTTTCAAATCACCATATAAGCTCAGAAATTACAGGGGTCATTATATTCACCTATTCTTACCTACCATGTAACACCTAACAAATAATTTCTGCATCAAGCCCAGAACTCAAGATTCCTTGGAGAAGCCAAAATGAAAGGTAGGCTGTCAAGAACAAATACATGAAAATCTCTGGAGACTGTCAAGGCAAAATTTAATTTCTGAACACACATGTGATACTCGCTTTTGAAATACAGAGCATGATAGTGTGCAAATTATTCCTGTCATCACACCTGCTCAAAAAGGTTTAGGCTCAAGATTTACCATTATTATTTGCACAGAAATTAGTAGAGTTATGAGACTACATCAAGAGAACTTGCAAATCTTTCCAAAACATCTTCCCTTTCCTTTCCTGATCAAATCTACTAAGGAAATGATTAGGTTTTTTACCCCTAGAGTGGAAGGCAGCACCCAGTTTACACACAGGTTATCATACCACACTTGATATGCCATCACTTGTGCCTTTTCTCCAGGTAATGACAGTGATTGTCACTGATTGACATGTGTTCCACTGTTTCAGTTTTACAGAAGGAACTGGTATTCCAGGGAAGTGGCAGGGAAAGAAGAGGCCCTAACGCTTAAGAAGGTTGAACATATCTGCTACAATGCACAAAAATAAAGAAGTGACAAGAATAAAACTCAAAGAATAAGGATTATCTTATATCCAGACTTCCTGTAAATAATAAATAATATTCTAAAGGTGGTACACAGAGAAAGGTATAGTATCTAGGCTTTAAGAAACAACCTGGAAAAAGGTTGTATCCTTTTCTCTCTACAGAAGACCACAAAATTACAGATTTAATGAGAAGGATTCCATTCAGTCCCTGCAAGGTGTCTTTTTGCAAAGACATCATTAAACTTTGTAAGGTCACAAAGCTCATAACGTTTATGGCCTGAGGAAGCACCAAAGAATAACTATTTTCAACTTTACAAATGTCATTCCCTTGCAAATAGGTCACGCAGGAAAACAACTGAACAGAACATGGTCTATTTTTTATTTGGATACTTGTATCTAAACAGAAGCAATGCAAGCAAAGAACAGCCTCTGTTTTAAATATAGATATCCACTTCAAATTATATTTATTACATTACTGACTAGAACTAGTGTGAATCTATTCAGTACTTTAAGAAAAAAAGCTGATACAGATAGTATACAGAACTAACTTCAATTCCATTTTGGATCAAGTACCTATTTTCTCTGAAAAACATAAACAATAATCCCTGCCCTTCCTATTTATTTTAAATAAAAACTTCTAACCTTTACCCTTAACATGCCAATAAAAATGCCTCAGACAAGCACACAAGAAGGGTGTTCAGTGTAGCAGTGACATTCCTGTGCCCATAAACTCAGTAGGAATATCTATTTTATTGTCAAAACAAAGCAAAATTGTCGGGAGTTTCTGAGATGCCACTACGAAGCACAGGAATTTATTTACTTTTTGCAATCTTAGTGTTAGAGAATAACATTTCCATTTTTTGTAAATTCAGAGAACTCTGATTTAGCAACATGGAATTTCTGAGCTTTCACATTTTGAAAATTTTTGCTTCTGTCATTTTTTTCTGGTCATGTACTGGTAGGTCAGTTTTAAATGACTGCTCCCTATCGACAGAACATTAACTCACTATAAGGTCAGGGAACCCATAGCTGTTTCAAACAGGTGAGGGATTCTTCAAAACAGTGAATTAATTAAAAAAAATTTAAAAACCCCGACTAAAAACCACAAACAAACAACAATTTGAAAAGGAGTATAAAAACTGGTATTTCAAATTTATTCACAGCACACTAAGATAATCAGAAATACAAAGGAAAGTCAGACTTTGTTTATAATTAAGACAAATATTCAACACGCTTTTTTAATAAAGCCTTTTCCATTTTTACTACTGTTGTGACTTTACAATGCTAACCTACCTGCACAGAATTTGTTCTCTATGCCTCTCTATTATTAACAGAGTAAAGGGATGTAATCCAACACTTCTGACTAGTTCAAAGGTTATGCAGTCAAATCTGACTTCTCCAAAGGCTTGATTTAAAAGTATTTCACCCTCCTCTTTTAAAAGCACTGCATTTTCAACACTTTTTCATGTCAGCAGGTTCTACTTTGTACCAGCTGGTGAATTACAAGTCTCTATGGTTTTCTTCTTTCATTTTAGGAGAGTTAAAGAGTCTGAGAATAGAAGTACAGCAATAAAAGGCAGATTGTCTAGCAGTATACTGAACTGCCAACAGCTGTCCCCTCTGAGACCTCACCAATCCTTAACATTTCACTTAAAACTTAAATACCTATTTCCCAAGCTCAGTTTTTATTTCTTAATCTGTGACAAATATAACAAATGAAATATGCTACTGTTTGAGACCAACAGCACTTCCATACAAACATTTCAAAGTAAAATTAAGCAAGGGGCAGGGAGGGGCAAGCTTTCCAAGTTCCATTTCCTTTTGTTAAAGCAATTACATAGCCATCAGATACTAAACTATATAAACACGCACCTGTAAACTGCTCAGTACAAACAGTGTATGATATAAAGAGTAAAAAAGTACACTTTAATAGAAAACAACATAGTGCTGTAACTCCACATCTTAAGTCACTTTGAGAAAGCCACTACTCATGCCATACCATCACACGGAGAAAGCATCTTTCAAAGAAACCTTAAAAGATTTTTATGAGATTAGTTACCTGCTCAGTGATCCTCATGTGAAAGTCATGGAAGTCACTGTAGCGTCGATACGTCTTCCATGTCTCTTCGCTGTTTGGACTTCGCCGATGGACTGTGATAGCATATAGTGCGTATGTCTTGCCATGGTCATTACACACTCCTGCCACAGCATATGGGTCATAGTCAGCATAGACTAGTAGTTTAAAAACAAAAATAAAAGAGGAACAAACAGAAAGAAGGAAGACGAAAGGACACAAACGTGAAGTGAAGAAATGTCTGGAATGACAGACTTGAGACAAAAATGGACACGCAAGCAAAAGAGCAAGCCATCCCTGTATCCAAAACACTGTATAAGTGATACCCTCCAGAAACTTACTATGTGAAGTTAAGAGATTAAGCAGCCTTAAAATTAGACAAGTTTCACTGACATGCAAAACAAACAAAAAAAAATAGAAAAGGTTTCAACTTTAGAGAATAGTGAATAGATCTTTTAAAAAATAATTTTAACCTAAAGAACTCAAGGTATGGGTGAAAGACAACTGTGACACCGGAAGAAATTCCAGTTTCCAAAGTACTCTAATCATATTGTAAAAGTTTGTCCATCAAAAAAAATCTGTAAATACAGAAGACAGTGCTAGCAAGCTGTAAGCATTCGGTTTTGTTATTAACATCAGCTGTTTGTTACTAACTATAAGATAAAAAATACTCCCCACACTATTTAAGTCAACAGAAACTATACACACACATATGTACGTATTCTGTATGTGTGTGTACATACATATAATGTATTCTGCATGTGTGTAAACACACACACATTTTATGGAGAAGTCAATTTATAAATGGAAAGAACACAGACAGTTGAATACAAGCAAACATCTTTTTGTACTCCACTGAATCTTTAAGTTCTCTTGGACATTCCTCCATCACAGAACTCCTCCCAGTACACAGTTTGTTTCAAAAACTTCCATTTAATCTACAGAATAACCTAGAACTAATAGTTTACACTGCACACTGTTTAAACTGGTAACATGTAGTATCTGTAAGTATTGAACCAATACCCAGTAACCACAATTTTCCAGTGTGGTTGATGAAAATACTTTTTAATCAAGTTCTGCATCCACACTCCATAAAATACACTTTTCCTGACAAATCATGAGCTCCAACCTCTGTTGTGCTACCAGCCTTGACTTCTTTCAAGTATAATGCCAAGATCTAAGCAGCCAGGGAGCACCTCTAGGATAGGGGCAAATGCTGACAATGTAAGAATTACTCACTAGCAAGGTGCACACTGGGTACGGAGCATCTTTTCTTTGCCATCTACCTTTTGGCATCCTTTGGAGCATCTTTTCTTTGCCAGCTACCCTCTAGAAGAAGAATGTTGAGTGCTGAACCCCAAGAGAAAAGAGCGGACAGTCACGATGCTGCCAAAAGACTGTGCAGATAATGGAGCAGGCAAACCCTGGCTCCACAGATGCTGACCAAGCCCTGTCCTCTAAACTCAGGTTGTCCACTCTGCTGTGCAGCCACCATACCACATCTCAGCGGCACTGCTAAGTTGCACCTTTAGGAGTACCACTTCAGGACAGTAGTGGCAGAAAAAGAAAGAAGTTGTCCCCATCGCCCCTTATGTCATAGCCTCTTAGCATTTACTTTCCAACACAAGACAAGGTGAACCCTCAAAGATTACGGAGAAGATCTTGTATACACCCCCCCAAACACCATAAAGGGTATTAATCAGTAGAGGAAAGGAGCCTGCACACAGATGCAAGATGCACCTACTGCCTGAAGTATTCAGAAAGCAAGAACTTGTATTTCTTGTTCAAACATGAGGTGAAGAGGAAGGAGACATCCAGTTTAGTCCTATCTTACAATACAAACCTGCACATATCCCCTGGTTCAACTGGAGTATTATGGCTTCACAGAGTCAAGCTGATAGTTATTAATACACACTGCCATCAAGGTAATAAATTTAACACGATTTGTGTGGTTCTATGACTACCTTTTTTCTTAGGTCAAAACAATGAAACTTCTAAATTTAATTCAGAAAAAAGTATCACGTGCCATTTTAAATGAAAAAGCAAAATTGTGATTGTTAACTTTTAAATTATTTTTCCCATTCTCTGAGGGTTGAATACATGAGACTTGAATTGCACCACACTCACACTTGGTTGGAGTAATAAGAGTTTAATTAAAATGTCAAGTAGTTGAATTCTTGCTCATAGCTCATTTGTCTGCTATAGAAATGCAGAGATTTTGAAGTCTGTTGCATAGTAAAATCTACCAAAAAGATATCTGAAGATTCATTCATAATTTAATTAGAGCAATCTCATCTAACTGGAGTTATTTGCAGATAATATCTGAGAAGTTTCTGTTATTTACTCTCATGTAATAAAAATTTTTTATTTATTACTAGGCAAATTTTTTCAAAAGATAACCAAAAATGACACTATTGTAAAGACTGAAGTCACTAACTTAAATTAAGCTAAGTCAATAAGGAAGCATAAAAAAATAGGGCAAAATATTACAGCAACAGAAGTAAACAGTCAAGAATTAAAACTGTGTGACTAGAAAAAAAAAGAGATGGCTTTTACAATTTGTTCTTTAAATGATTGCTAAAATAAATGCTATTCAATATTAAGTTTAATGAATGATTCTCCAGAGATAGGAAAATGATAATACCATAAAGAACAAAAATTAAATCACATTTTAAGTACAAATATATAGTCTACGACCTACAGCACCAATTCTGTAAGGATTTCCAATACAAGGACTTAATGGGAAGTATGAATTAAAATGTTTTATGAGGTTAAAAAAAAAGAAAGGATTAGGATTTCAAGGGCCTGTAATATTGAAAAAACTCAAAATAAATGGTGAAAAACAAGCAAGCAGCCATCATAACAGATTCACTTACCAGTATCTGAGATGTACGCATGGAGTTGAACTGTCTCATCAGAAGGGACGTTTGAAAGGTCATCTAAGGACTGCATGGGATGATGGGGGTCAGGGGAAGAGAGAAGAAGGAAAAAACAGAAAAGAGAGAATAAGATCACGGAGACATCTCATTTGAGAGATCCTTTTTGATTAATCCATTTCATTTTCAAACTGTCAGTTCATTTCATTAATAGAATAGCTTAATGCACTGTAACAATGCAAATAAGCATTTATATTACCTGGTTACTAAAGCCTTTTACACAGAGTGTATGGCCCTTCATTTCCCCTACCAGTTTCACATAGTATTGTGATCACTAACACATTTACTGTTTTTATTTGTATCTCAACTCTAATAGAAGTACAGCTACAAATAAGCCTTTTACTGAGCATTAAAAAAACCCCCCCTTGAACAATTGTGGAATCACAGAATCACAGATTCATAGGATCATTGAATTCATAGGATCACTGAATTCTAAAATGCACATGTAAAAAGTGAATCCATCATTACTATGTGGATGTAACAGGCTTGTACAACACCATACAAGTTGTTAGAATTCCAGTTTGAACTTTCTCTCAAGTCACATGCATAGCATCATTTAGGTTGGAAAAGACCCTTAAGATCATCAAGTCCAACCATTAGCCTAACACTGCCCAGTCCGCCACTAAACCATGTCCCTAAGCACCACATCTACCTGTCTTTTAAATCCCTCCAGGGATGGTGACTCAACCACTTCCCTGGGCAGTCTGTTCCAATGCTTGATAACCCCTTTAGTGAAGAAATTTTTCCCAATATCCAACGTAAACCTCCCCTGGCACAACTTGAGGCCGTTTCCTCTTGTCCTATCACTTGCTACTTGGGGAAAGAGACCAACACCCACCTCACTACAACCTCCTTTCAGGTAGTTGTAGAGAGCAATAAAGGTCTCCCCTCAGGCTCCTTTTCTCCAGACTAAACAACCCCAGTTTCCTCAGCCACTTCTCACAGGACTTGCTCTCTAGACCCTTCACCAGCTTCCTTGCTCTTCTTTGGACACTTTGTAGTGTCTTTCTTGTAGTGAGGGACCCAAAACTGAACACAGGATTCGAGGGGCAGCCTCACCAGTGCCGAGTACAGCGGGACAATCCCTTCCCTAGTCCTGCTGGCCACACTATTTCTGGTACAGCCTTCTTGGCCGCCTGGGCACACCGCCAACTCATATTCAGCCGGCTGCCGACCAACACCCCCAGGCCCTTTTCCACCAGACAGCTTTCCAGCCACTCTTCCCCAAGCCTATAATGTTGCATGGGGTTGCTGTGACCCAAGAGCAGGACCCGGCACTGAGCCTTGTGGAACTTCACACAATTGGCCTCGGCCCATCGATCCAGCCTGTCCAGATCCCTCTGCAGAGCCCTCCTACCCTCAAGCAGATCAACACTCCTGCCCAGCTTGGTGTCATCTGCAAACTTACTGAGGGTGCTGTGGTGGGTTGCCCCTGGCTAGATACCAGGTGCCCACCAAAGCCATTCTATCACTCCCCCTCCTCAGTGGGACAGGGGAGAGAAAACATAACAAAGAGCTTGTGGGTCGAGATAAGGACAGGAGAGATCACTCACCAATTACCGTCACGGGCAAAACAGACTCAGCTTGGGGAAAATTAACTCAATTTATTACAAATCAACCAGAGTAGGGTAATGAGAAATAAAACCAAATCTCAGAACACCTTCCCTCCACCCCCCCCTTCTTCCCAGGCACAACTTCACTCCCGGATTCCCTACCAACCCCCACAGCGGCACAGGGGGACGGGGAATGGGGTTTACAGTCAGTTCATCACACGTTTTTTTTTTTCTCCCTTCATCCTCCTCAGAGGCAGGATTCATCACACTCTTCCCCTGCTCCAGCGTGGGGTCCCTCCCATGGGAGATGGTCCTCCACGAACTTCTCCAACGTGGGTCCATTCCACGGGGTGCAGTCCTTCAGGAGCACACTGCTCCAGCGTGGGTCCTTTCCACGGGGTCACAAGTCCTGCCAGAAAACCTGCTCCGTGGGCTCCTCTCTCCACAGATCCGCAGGTCATGCCAGGAGACTGCTCCAGCACGGGGTTCCCACGGGGTCACAGCCTCCTTTGGGCACCCACCTGCTCCGGCGTGGGGTCCTCCACAGGCTGCAGGTGGATATCTGCTCCACCGTGGACCTCCATGGGCTGCAGGGGGACAGTCTGCCTCACCAGGGTCTTCACCACGGGCCACAGGGGAATCTCTGCTCCGGCGCCTGGAGCATCTCCTCCCCCTCCTTCTTCACTGACCTGGGTGTCTGCAGGGTTGTTTCTCTTACATCTTCTCACTCCTCTCCCCGGCTGCCGTTTCCCTCTGTCCCAACTTTTTTTCCCTT